ATATATAGAGAGAGAGAGAAGGAGAGAGGGAGAGAGGGACAGAGACAAACTATGTTTAAATATCTTCACAATTAGAGAGAGAGAGAGAGGGAGAGGAAGACTACTTGGTTATAATTAGGAGTATCTCATTTTTTTGAAAATGTGAGCATATATATTTTTAACCAAATAACATTTAACCAAAAGTCACACATCTTCAAAGTTCCTCCAGGAAGCTGAGCAGTACAGTGTGCTGCAGGAAGATTCACCAAGCTCAGGCTTTCAGGGCCCCGCCTCTCCATGTATCAGTTGTGTATTTTAGGGGAACTAGTATCACAGAACTTCCTTTAAATCATGTGAGAGAACTAAAAAAAAAAGTCAGACCTATCCCCAAGGATTTTGTGTACTAAATCTATGGAAGTACCTGGCAGTACCTGGCTCATAAAAGGCATTAAATGAAGTTTTCTCTTTCCCAATCTTGCACACCATCTCCAACACACACACACACACACACACACACACTCACACACACCACTCATAAGTAAATACTGTCTTGCTTTACATAAGAACTTAAGAGAGCACCAAAATCTTACTCCCTCCCACTATCCCTGGCAACCTCTTGGCTGTGGAATCCCTGGTTATTTCCTTTCTCAAGGAGGGGATACTATTCTCATTTGACAGATCCTTTCCTGGACACACTCTCAGAATTCCCTGAGGTTCTTATCATGGCTAATGGATAATAATGCAGAAACAATGAGAGTGAATAATCACTCTCTCCCAGCTAAAGACTTCCTTTATTGACTTCTCTAACTTCCCGTCAATATCTTGCTGCCAAATTAACCTCCTGTTCTAGGCAACTATTAAAAGTAATTTTCTTAAAATTGTAAATGGTATGTAGCCTTCAACCATAAATCACAGTAACCTCAATGATCAGCCACTTATACCAGTACAGCATCAGACCACTAGGATGTTAGCAATACTAAAATATTTACCAAATTAAACTATTTATAGTCTATTTCTGTCTTCAACCCTAAAAGCAAACAAATTCAAGAGAAGAAAGCTATCTTTTAGTTATTCCTTCTATAAGGTAATGTGAATGATAGTAATATTATGTTAATAAACATTTAGTATCTTGAGTAATAGCATTAACTATTATTTACTGAAAGAGAAACTAAAAGCCATATAATTAATAGCACATTCTTGCAATACAGTTAAATGATAGTTTTTTATTTAGATTACTAGCAGTGTCCGGCACTGTTGTAGCCCCGTCACATAACACAGTATCTAGAACATGACAGTCAATACACTTTTATCAAAAAAAATGAATAAATTACCAATTGTTTATTTTTACTGAGGACCAACCTATGAGCTTTCATCCCCAGAAGGTAAAACACAAACCCGTTATATGTGAACCACATCTATAACAACAGAATTTAAAATTCCCACTCCAAAGGGGCTAGAACAACTTCTTTGTAAAACAGTTATGCCTATTGAGCATATTAAACACACACACACACACACACACACACACAGTTTTCCTTCTTTTGTTTTTGTACTAAGGGTATTTGTATAAAAACAAGATCTTTGTTGCTTAGTAATTCATCTGCTCCAGCTGTTTGTGTTCTGTTCCCAATCAAAATTCTTGGTTTTCAACCTCCCCATCACTTTTATAGGGAACGAAGTGAATTGGCCAGTCTTGCTCCTTTCCCCACTATGGAAAACCAGGCATTGAGGTCCCAGACACTGCTCCTCTGCCTGCTGCTATCTTAGGTTTCGCGTGTGTTGCAGGGAACCAGCCAAGAGCATGACAAAGTACTGTGTCATGCTTAGTCTCTCATACATTATCTACCAGGCTTCATCAAAAAGTGCCCACTGACTAACAGAGGATCCTTTCCCTCCTAGTTTCTAAACTCTCCTGCTCCCTTTTAGGGTTGGGTTACTCCAAAGTCAGAGAAGATACACGGGACAGAATTCTAAAGGCCATGATCCCAGGGAGAAAAAAAATCACAAAAAGGTAGATGGAGTCAGGTGTGGTGGTGAGCACCTGCAATCCCAGTACTGAGACTGAGTCAGGAGGATTCTGAGTTTAAAGCCAGCCTGGGCTACAGAGTAAGCTCAAAGGTCAGTATGAACTACGCAGTGAGACCTGTCTCAAAAAAAAAAAAGGTGGATGGATGTATTTAAATATTTAAACGGATGGAAAAAACAACAAATTAATCCCTCAGAGGCAACAGCATATGGAAAAGCTGATTGACTACTGAGGGTCAATTAATTTAAAGTACTTTATTAATCACACATATATATTTACCAATGTCTAATTCTCCTGATGTTCTTCTCCATTCCAGACTTCCCTGTCCCTTTCCCAGAGCTCTATCTCTCTCATTTCTTTTCTCTATTTCTCCAAAAGGGACAATAAACAATTTCCTAGCCACTCATCATCATAAACCTTGACATGTTAAATAACCTCCTGCTCAGTTTATAAAGCTCAGTGGGCCCATAAAACTCCTCCCTCACCAGCAACCCCACACAAAATTCTCATTTCCCTTTTCCACCCTTTTAAGGGTACTTCCCAAAGGAGCAAGTGAGCCACATTCACTGCCATCCACTCTCCTCTTGTGACTGGTTTGTCCCCGAATCCTAAAAAAAATGAGAACTCCTTACCTGGAAGGCAGCTACACTCGAAAGTAAAGTCGCCAGTCTGCCGGCAAGTGCCTCCATTGACACAGGGAGAGGGCGCACAGGGCACATAGGGGCTGTCACAGTGCTGGCCTGTGAAGCCCGGGGAGCACTGGCACTGGTAGGAACCAGGCAGGTTGAGGCAGGTGCCACCATTCTGGCACTGTCCTGGAATGTCACACTCATTGACATCAGTCTCACACTTCTGCCCTGTGAAGCCAGCAAGGCATCTGCAGGAGAACTGGTTGGCCACAGTGGTGCAGGTACTTCCATTTGCACAGGGATGAGACAGGCAGGCATCAGTCCACTGGCACAGCTTCCCTAGAGGAAGGACAAGAGAACTCAGTCTTGCTCACAGAGAGAAACAGAACACAACCTCACCCTCAACACCCTCTCTCCCACCCATGAGGTGGCACCAAGAGTTCTCACATGGAGATCCCTATGCTTCTTCATTGTACAGAAAGACAAAAGAGCGTCTTCAAAAGCATCTGACACAGAGCACTTTCCAGAAAACTCTCCAAGGTCAGTAGATGAGACTCAAAGATTCAGTGGATGGAGGATAGGACGGTCAACAGGCTACTCATAGGAACCGCAATTAAGGATCCTGGCAGTCCCTAGGGCACAGAGCCTGGGTCTACCTACTCTGTGACATCTCCCTGTCTTTGCATGTGCTGCTCCTCTATGAACAAAAGCTTCCTTTTTGCTCACCTACTGAATTCTCCCTTCTCTTGACAACTCTACTCAGCAGTCACCACTTCTATGAAGCCATCCTTAGTGCCCCTTGACACATATCCCCACAAAGTACTCTCCTCCTGCCACTCCCACAGGCACTGTCCCATGGTATGTTCACATCATGTCTGCTGAAGCAATGAAATGTACTGATACATTCCACAATATATAGTTGCTGACTAGAACTCTTAGGTGGTAGAAACAAGCCATATTCCTTCTATTTTCTTTGGACATAACACACACATATTCTAGGTAATGTTGGTAATTATGATCTTGCTATAAATACAACTTGATGCATTTGGAGATGCTGATGGATCTCTGATTCCCTATATATCAAAAGAAATAAAAGATGTCATGAGGGCAGAGGTCCCAAAAGATAACTTGTGGGCTTTCTAAGTAGAAAGGTACCAGCCACAGCTGGATGACTGCAATGCTGAACCCTACATTATGAATCCATGGGAAACAGAGCAGATTCTTTGAGAAAAACAGAAATATGCCCATGTTTCTAGTAAATTTGATATTCATATGTCTTTTTCTCTTCTTTTTTTTTTTTTTTTTTTTGTCTTTTCTTCCGGTACCAGGAATCAAACTCACGACCTTGTGCTTGCCAGGCAGGCACTTTGCCACTGAGCTAAATCCCCAGCCCCTGTCTTTTTATTTTCATTATCTAAATATTTTATTTTTAAAACTAGAGATGAGAACTCTGAGTTTGTTAATATTCCAGCTGGTTGTCCAAAGCTTCGAGTCCCCAGAAAAGCAACTGAGAGACAAGATCATTTTGCTAAAAGATGTGAGGTATGAGACAGAAAGAAACGCTCTCTGTCTGTCAAGGAATGTCAAATCAAAAGGGAGTGGTGAAAAAAAAATCTTGGGCATAGCATATAAACCCCAATGCTAAGCAGGGAAAAAATGAAGGAATTACCATTTTTGTTCCCATTGTTTCCATCATTCCACCAAATTGCCCAAGCTGGGCTCAAACTTGTGATTCTCCTGCCTCAGCTTCCCAGATTTCTGGCATTACAGGTATGTGCCACCATGCCCAGATTGATTGTTGGTTTTGAGTTGCTGTGCTACTTCAGGATATAGGGGAGAGCATTCCCATTTACAACATTTTAATCCTGATTAAAGGATTAGAAAGCAATAATGCCTTCTTTATAATTAAAACACCATTCAGAAATAGGCCCCAAATTAAAACTCCTTCTTTTACTATTAAAAAGATCTCTTGAAGGTCTGCAGCATTTTGATCATCTTTAAATATTTGTCACTTATGGCTATCATTTCAGCAGTCTCAGCAGTTAAGTCCATCCTTTTGGTTTTGGTGAGACCTCTTTACCTCACCCAGTCAAACCTGGTAGCGCATCTCCTGTCACAGATGCAGCAGGCACAGTGAGTTAGTGTCTCTGCATTATGTATGTGAACCAAGTTCAAGAGCCTTTCTGCTTCAGTTGCAGGCAGGATCTGATAACCCAGGGCTTCCAGAAGGAAGTGTGTGTATCTCTTTTCCATTGTAAGGAACTACCTGTCAGTGGTTTACAGAACCAACTGATTTAGTGTTTAAAACAAGAAAAAATGAAGAATGGTTCTCCTTTTCTCACCAAATTTAATAAACACCAATGGTTCATTCTGAATAAAGTTCAGCCCTACCTCTGAAAAACCCCAAATTTATTCAAAAGAGAGACATATAAAAAATTAATTACAATAAACTGTGACATAAAAATAATAAAACCCAGCCACCAACTGCCTCAGGGAATCACAAAGGGGTCACTGAGACCATTTTAGAAAAACATTCAGTAATCATCAATTATAGAAAAGAACCTTCCGAGCAAAGGCGCAGGCAACAACATGTAACCAACAGGAAAAATGATATTTTCAGGAAATGATGAGAATGTCAGTGCAATCAGACTGTGGAGACCTGAGGCCACAGAGATACCACGGTCTAGACTCTGATGGGCCACAGAAGCCAGATAAAAGGGTGCACAGTTTATTCTGTGGACAAGGAAATGTTATGAGACACTGTAAGCAAGTGAATACGTTAGAAGATTTGCATTTATAACTAATGATGTAACAATATTACAGGTGAAAGATGGAGAGAGGATAATAGTAAGAAGCTAAGAAACTAATTCAGAAGTCCAGGTAAAAGGAACATGGCCGCAAGTACTTACAGCAGGCAGAGGAAGTAGAGAGCAGCAGACAGTTGCAGGTAATTTAGAGACAGGACTGGTAACTGACTTTGAAGAGGGCGAGGGCAAGGAAGAGGAGCTTGTACTTTGGGTGCATGAACTGCACACTGGTGTCCCATACTTATATCAACATGCTACATTTGAGGTGCTTATAGAGGCTCTAAGGAGAACATGTAACAGGCAGAAGAATGAGCCTGAGTGTCTGGCGCGGATGCAGCCGAAGGGATGACCACGCGAGGCATCGGCAACTGGTGGAGACAATGAAGCAACTGATGACAGTGAGATTTCCCCAGGAAGAACTGTGACACTGCTCAAAATTGTTTCAGAGAACACAAACATTTAATGGATAAGGATAAGGCATTGCAGAGAAAAAGAGGAACAAGTAAGAGTTCAGAAAACCAGCAAAATCAGTATGCACAGGAAGATTTTAAAGAAGTGAAAAATCAACAGCATCATAGCATTTCTCCTAGTGACAGTGTATTTCCTTTAGTGCGTTATTTCTGACCTCCAATCCTGAGGTCATACACATGTAATACATTCTTTAAGTTTTCAAGTATATCCAAGTATTTTATTCTTTTTTTTCCTCCTCAGGCTCTTAAACCTCTTAAAGAGAGCTTGTGGATAATTGTCCAAAACGTTCCCATTCTTTATCATAATGTTAAATGTGCAACACAGTTGGAGGACCCTTTCAAACCAGACTCTAAAATCTAAACATTCAAAATAAAGATATTTCCTGAGAAGGCAAAGTATGGTGTGAGCCCCCTTTGTTACCTGTAAACCCAACTTGGCAGGTACACTCATAGGTATCCCGGCTGAGCATGTGGCAGGTGCCTCCATTCTGGCAGGGAGGAGTCACAAAGCACGGGTGAGAGGTGGAGTACTGGCAGTCCTCCCCTGTGAACCCCAGAGAGCACCGGCAGGTAGCTATCCCCAGCATGGCCTGGGCCACACAGGTCCCACCATTCTGGCAGCGATTCTTCTCACAGGGATCTCGATGTTGACAATATTCTCCCAAGAAGCCTTCTGGACATCTGTATGGAAAAACAGAGGAGTCCCTTAAAATCCCTGACTTTTTGTAAGCCCAATACCTTACAGTTAAACAATGCAGTCCATTCAAGAACACAGTAAGCTGTGAATCAAGAGACTTAAAGGTGTGCTCTATAAGACTCTCCTCACTATTGAAAAAGAAGTACTTACAGAACTTAACCACATATTTCCGGGTCTTTCTGAGTCTTGGTAGGTGGACTATACAGCAAGGTCTATACAGCCATGCTGCCTATACAGCTAGTCAGCATGACCCTTACTCAAAAGCAAAGTACACATAGCTTTGTTCACATAGGTACACACTGGGATGGCATAACAGCACCTTTTGGGAGAGCACTGTTCATACTCTGCTTAAATTCACTATCTTTCTCATCCTGACTAAACCATATGATAGGAAGGATTAAAGTATTTACATAAAAATGAATGGATTTGTCCAACCCTCTTATCCCTCCAATTTAAAATATAAAAGACATCATGTGCTATTTCTCAATTAAATATTGAGAAATAGTAAGTTCTTCTTTCTCGTTTCCACCGAAACATCAGTTTGCCTGTACACATGTTTTGGGCTACAAGCAGATGGCTGAGACTGTAACGGAAAGGGGAAGGAGGTACAGGAACGGGAAAAGGTCCACAGGAACGTCCTACTATTTGTTAATATGTAAGTGGCAGTTTTTTAAGCAAATAAAAAGGCATAAAATGTAATTAAAGCAACATCAAAGGTATCACATTAACATGAAAGTGAAGAAGGGAAATAATTCAAGAATAACATCCTACAATATATTCCACATTGAGGCACTGAAGAATCTTTTTTTTTTTTTTTTTTTTTTTTTTGGTTTTTCTCCGGTACCGGGAACCGAACTCACGACCTTGCGCTTGCCAGGCAGGCGCTTTTGCCG